TAACCGTTAGACGATCACTGACAGGAAACTGAAGATAAATACTGTAATTTACTGAATAATTCTATACAAGATTTATGGTCAGTTTTAAACTGGACTGCCACAGACACCTGATTCACGCTTGAGTATTATTATGATATTATGTTCTAGTACGCATGATAACAGCTCTGCAAAGAGAAGAAAAACTTGATTCTATAGAAACCCGTCTGGCTAGCGCAGGTCAAAACCTCCTAAGGAGAGGCCAATGTCCATTCCATTATTTTATGGCCCTCCGTCCTCTTGACGCCAACTCTTCTTGGGTATATAATCGTTTACAGAAACTAATTTATTGACCTTTTTTTATACGTGTGAAAAACACTCTGGGGCCGTCATCTCTGGGTGGTATCTCGAAATCAAACTGACTAAAACCACACGATGATCCATTCTGCGCTTTAAATAACAGGGATCTGGGAATAGCTGTTTTTAGGACATCCGGACCCCTCCTAGCGCGGGCACTACCTTCGGGTAAATCTCGCATTTAGACGTCATCCGTGTGGTGACGGATTAAGAATACAGAGTGTCATCTCCCCTATTCATCCCGTGAGTGTCCTAAGAGGCGACTAGGGGAGCGAAATACGCAGGACAACAGCACTGCAGAGAGGAGAACTTGATACAAACCCTATACCAACCCGTCTGGCCAGCATGGCATAGTAGGCCAAAACCTCCTTTCTGAAGACAGGCCAATGTCCAGCAGTGGACCGTTAAAGGCTGTTGATGTGATGATGATGTTGATGATACGTCATCCAAGAACTCGCAGACACTCAACAAATTTATCGACCTTGTTACAGGCTTTTACACTCTTGAGACTGTATATTTATGCGTTACACAATTTAGCACAAAATACATCGACGATACTTCCGTTACTTACACAGAGGCTATTGCATTTATCTGAGAGTTGCTAGCGGTATTGCGCACGCGCCGGTCGACGCCCGATCGAGCACGATGCGCTGTAGGGTTGCCACGGAGAATATCGGAGTTTCAAGTTACGAACTTTAAAACTTATAATTATTTTTTGTTGTGCAAATTACAAAATGATTAAATGATTAGTTCAATTTTGAAGGGGTAAGAAACACATACTTGTAATACGAGAATTATATTTTGAACGAGAGAGTCACGTCTTTTAACGGATACAGATTAAGATTTGTTTTACAAACACAATTTCCCGATAGTATACTGTTAACAACTGTTGAAATTTTATAATTTTTAACAATTAGTCGAAATTTACAAATAAAAAAAACTAGTTAAAAATTATACAGGGTGTAAGGGACAATTCCAATGATTTTCGACTCAGAATGATGGTCTGTATACACAATTTCGGTATGCGTTACGACGTCTATACTCAATACTCAATATATTTATTACATTCCACAATGTTTACTTAGATGGTACTCAAATATATGATCAGATCATCATGGACCCTGTCGGGCACAGCAATAGATGAGAGAGGGAGAGATAATACAAACTAATAACTTTAATCATACTTCAGTTTTTTATGTACATGCTTAATTTATTGATTGCTCAGATATTCATTGACGCTGTAATAGCATTTTTGTAGTAATAATTGTTTTAATTTTTTTAAATATCTATTTAATATGGTTTCATTTCTAATTTCTTCGGGTAATTTATTGTAAATTTTGATCGACATTACTTGAGTCCCTTACACCCTGTAGATGCTTATCAAATGTAATAATAAATTATAACGCGTCTGTCAGTGTAGATCTAAAACAGCCCGTTTCCAAAAGGTTGGACCTTACGACAAATGCGGCAAACAAATATATACCAGAGCTAAGAATTAATATTTTATTTTTGGCACATAAACCAACTGTAATCTTCTAATACTTATATAAATATCCCGTGTCACGGCGTTTGTGTTCGCACTCCTCCGAAACGGATCTACCGATTTGAATGTTTTTTTGTATATTTCTTTGGTCGTAGAGTATTTTTCACCCTCCTACACCAAACCGCCGTCTTGTAACCGTGATTTATATGACAGAACAGACTGTCGCTTTTTTTAAATGAGCTTTCTTTAAATGAAACAAATAGACAACTATGTACAGGTAAATTAGCTTGGAGAAATTTTTGCGTTTGTAGTAGTGTATGGTACGGACAGCGTAAACTGGTTTATTCTGGTTTTGTGCGTGTTTCCACTTTCCACTATCAAGTGACGATTTTTTGCTTTAGATTGAAATATCTCGGAAACGGTGCGTCCTAGGCCAAAAATAACAAAAATTTTGGCCCGCCCGTAGATCCCCCGGAGTTTTAAAAACCTAGATGAAAGGAAAAAAAAAAAAGAAAATTTTAAATATCGGTCTCTCCTCTTTGAAGTTTCACTTCTATCGTGTGTGAATCGCACACACACCTTTTTTTTATAAAGTCAAAACCTTTTCTTTAAAATAAAAACTTGTTTTTATTGAAAACAAAAATCAGAGTGTTGCTAGGGATAAGTATAAAATTAAATAGTAATGTTAGGATATCGAAACATTTTTGTATAGGCCAGAACGATATAGTGGAAACGCGCTCTAAGATCTGAGTAATATACACACCACTACATATGCAAAAATTTCTCGAGACTAATTTCACTGTATAGTATCATAACAGCGTATGGCAGCCCTGTGCTGTGTCGTGCACGATTGCGCACCGTTCGCGCGGCAAATGTTTCGCAGAGACGCTGCGCCTCGCCGATGCGCTTCCTGACTCGAGACCTACCTACCATCTTGATGTTTTACGGTATTCCACACAGATATGTAACTCCTGAACTCCTGGAGTATAAATATACTGGAGTAATAGCTTTTCCTGTGTATTTGCGTTCGTAGATCATCTGTGTTATTTAAAGTAACTTTCCACACGGCAAAATTATCATCCTCATCACCTGGATAGTTGGCGCTCTACTACTGTGTGCTTTTCGAAACACTTTTTGCCCCGCACAATCAATCTGTGGAACGGGTTATCGTCTGCGGTATTACCGAACCGATACGACCTTCAAACCTTCAAGAAAAAAGCGTTCTCCTTCCTAAAAGGCAACGCGTTTGTGACTCCTGAGTTGCAGGCGTTCATGGGCGGCGATGGTCACTTTCCATCAGGTGACCCGTCTGCTCGTCTGCCCTCTCTAACATAAAAAAAAGTAGAATTAGCTGTACACACACGATTGCTTTAACAATAATAGTAATATTTTCGGACATCTGACACACAACGCCATCTAGTTTCAAACTAAACAGAGCTTGTACTATGAAAACTAGATTGACTGAAAGAAAACTTATATACTTGTTTTTTTTAAATACATATTTTAAAATATATATTATACATAGAAAAGACCCAAACTCCAAAACAAATATTTGCAGATCATACAAATATTTACTCCGACCTGGGAATCAAACCAGAGACTTTGGCACAGCAGTCGTATACGCTACCACTGCACCACCTTCCCCCTTTTTTTCCGTGCGGAAATCCCCTCGGATACCACCTGTCGGTGGCATGTCGGACCCGAACCGACTAAAACCGCACGCCGTCTCGGGTACTAATAGCCGGGGAACCAGGTATCCCTGGTGCCTCGCTTGATTCCCCTGGTTGACCAGGTGAATGATCGCCAGCACCTTTCAAGTTTTAAAGTGTCAAAAAAGTCAGTTGCATGAAGGAAAAAAGGTTTTTGTAATGAAATATGTATCTAGGTACATTATTTATGTATGCTACTAAAGCTTAGGTACTACTAATAAGTCTAATAACTGGTTAAGTTAGTAATTAAATTAAACCAGTACATACCTTTTTTAAACAAAGTACAAAAAAGAAAGACTCCGATTCAGTTGTATTTTTTTAAATGTTTGTTACGTCAGAACTCCGTCGTTGTGGAATTTTTTTTCTTTATACTTCTCTCTTTTCTCTTTGTAAAAGACAACTCCCGCATTAGGAATATATCCTGTGTCGCGGGGGACTTTATAAACATACATGAAACGGACACAGAACACCCAGACTCAGAACAACAATTTGTAGATCACACAAAATGTCGTCCCATGTGGGGTTTGAACCCACAACACTCGTAGTAGGAAGCGGCGTGGCGACCGCTTAAACCACTACGCAATCCGTGCAGTCAACTTATATATATACTAGCTGAGACCCGCATTTGTTGTTATAACCGCGGGCAACGTCGCGGGGCGAAGCTAGTCTTAAAAAAAGTAGACAGACAAAAATTGTAAAAAATGTTATTATGTACTGTGTAAACATACATATTATGCATTTAGTAAAAAGCGGTTATTTTAATATTACAAACAGACACTCCAATTTTATTTATTTGTACTTTCAATTTGACCCAATTGAATTTTAAAAAAAACTACCATAAGGACAGAATTTGAGGATGAAAATTAAAAAATGATAGTTTAATATCATGATTCAGAAGTCAATGTATATTTGTATTGGTTAATTAATACGCTATATACGATTAAAGTGTAACTCGAGTGCCCATGATCGTTTTACTGATGTGACTCCATTATGTTCGAGTCAAGAGGCCACTTGATACCGAAACACTTGACTAACTGTGACAACACTTGATATTATTCAGTTTTTTGATGTGCAACATTCCCCTGGCTTTCCTGTTGACGAGGGTCGGAAGTGTGTATCAGGAAACCGGGAAGCGCGTGCTTGCACCTACTCAGACAGACGCCTACTCATTGGATAGTGTTTTAACCCCCGACGGAAAACGATTGGTGTTACAATTTTAACCCGTGAATCTGCCTATCTGTGTATATGTCTGTCTGTAAAGTCATAGCTCCCGAACGGATGGACCAAATTCCAAATAATAAAAAAAATTGACGCCCTCAGACTTAGAAAAGTATCTGCTGAACAACATACGAATAAATCGTGATAATACAATAAAAAAAGATGAAACATGTTCTTATTGCTTTGACGACAAAATATAATGCTGACGTAAAATCTCCTTTCCTCCAAATACTAAACAGCATCTTATTTCTTTCCAGGTGTGGACGTAACAGCCAACCAAGATGAGATTTCGTCCCACGAGACGTTCCAACTGGAGTTCGACTGGGCCACCAAGCGCTGGTACATTCGTACCATGCAGGACCGCTACTGGACCCTAGAGGCGGGCCATGGCATCCAGGCGAGCAGTGATAACAAGTACGTAACAAGAAATCCCTACTCACGTAATTCTCAGCATTTCAAGGTTTAAATAGGAAGACAAACTTGGTGTACATTAAGGAAGAGATACTTGACTGCACGGATGGCGTAGTGGTTTAAGCGGTCGCCACGCCGCTTCCTACTACGCCGAGTGTTGTGGGTTCAAACCCCACATGGGACGACACTTTGTGTGATCCACAAATTGTTGTTCTGAGTCTGGGTGTCCATTGTGTCCGTTTCATGTATGTTTGTAAAGTCCCCCGCGACACAGGATTTATTCCTAATGCGGGCGTTGTCTTTTTTAAAAAAAAAAAAAAAAAATAACAAACAAACAAACAACCAAAACAAACTTGAGAAAGGAAGGCAAAGAAAATAAAGGAATATTGTTTATACGGTAGTAATTTGGAAAAGTAAGCAGAAACACAAACAATTTGACAATCCCTGTGACTACAACACCACTAGTGTGGTGGTGTACTCCCAGCAGGGAGTTACAGCAGTCCTAAATAAATAAGTATAACTATTACTATTCAAGGAGTTTTTTAGTATATGTGTGTGTGTTGTCGCAGATCCTCGAACGCCCTGTTCGAGCTGGAGTGGCAGGGCGATGGTGCCGTGGCGTTCCGTGCCAACAACGGCAAGTACCTGATGACCAAGCGTTCCGGACACCTGTACGCAAATGCGGACACCATCGACGACAACTGCAAATACTACTTCTACCTGATCAACAGGTAGGTTACTTTACAGGCTTTTTGTTTCAAAGGGAATCAAACCCAACATGAGTCATTAAATACTGGAATTTGTGAGTAATGTAGATCCGAGATTGGTCGACCGCTGATTGCTGTAAAGGATTGTTATAATACTAGCCAGGCTTTAAATATTAGTATTAGCTTTAGGTAGAACCATAATAAAATACAAGTTATGTAAAGAATTAATGAGTTCTTCCATAAATCACAGTTCACAAAACTGCGTCTTTTTATACATATATAGGAAAGTCAAAACAGTCAAGAACCATTTTCTTCTTTTAGTTTTTTAGCTGCTTTTTTACTAAAAGTAAATCAATAAAAAAAAAGTCCAATGGTCCAGCATCTACGTTAAGATGACACGAAAAAACTATACAAGTTCAAGTTATATCAAAATTAAAGTTATAACTGTGGAAATTCTACCATTCTACCACATTCTACGCGATACTTAAAGTCAAAGAATATGATTACTAGAGGCATTTATATATACTTCAGTGTTTTAAATAAATTCCGTATTTTTCCAGAAACTTAACAAATTTTATGCTCAAATTGTCGGGTCGGCAGAACAATTAGGAGCTAACACATCGTAAACTGTTGTAATAACCTATCTTTAATTCGCAGGCCAATCCTAGTGCTGAAATGTGAGCAAGGTTTCGTGGGCCCTAAGGGCGTACGAATGGAGTGCAACAAGGCCAACTACCAAACCATACAGGTCATCCGCGGACCCAAGGGAGCCGTTTACTTCAAAGGTACGTCCATATGGGTTTATCATCGTCATCGTTAACAGCCTTTAATGGTCAACTGCTGGACATAGGCCTCTCCTTAGAAAGGAGGTTTTGGCTGGCCAGACGCGTTGGTTTTGTGTCAAGTTTTCTTTCTCTCTGCAGTGCTGTTGTCCTGCGTAGTTTGCTCCTTTTAGTCGTCTCTTACGACACCCATGGGATGAATTAGGGTGGTGACAATTTGTATTCTTAATACTATATGGGTTCAAAAAGGAACATATTTAGTGGGGGAACAGTAAGTCCTTAAATGGCAAGACTAGACCAGTTTATTCGCTTACTTTGAATTAATTTGAATGTTCTAATATATCATTTTATTTGGTTTGTTACCGATGTTTATAATCTTTTAGCTTATTCATTATTTGTTGTGTCATGTCCAGAGCTTCTATCAAAGATTTCAATAGTATTTTTAACTAATTTTCTTTTAATATAAATTTGCAAAACCAGTTATCGGATTTCCCTGAATGCTATACTATCTTATGTTACACGGAGGCCACTTCTAATTTTCATAACCAACTTTTTTTACGAACAGGACAAAACGGTAAATACTGGTACGCGGACAACGAAAAGGTGACCTGCGACAGTGATACGCCTCAGGGCTTCCACCTGGAGCTGCGCGAGCCCACGCGCCTCGCCATCCGCGCCGCCGCGGAGAAGCAGTACCTCGCCGCCGCCAAGAACGGCAACTTCCGTCTGGTGGGGCCCGACCTAGCGCACGCCACGCAGTGGGAGTACTAAGCATCTAAGCATTAGAGATCCTTTTGACATTCGCGCAACCCTGACGAACAAACCTTGCGACTCGATCATTCTGTAGCTTCGATACCTCTCGATGACGTATCGAACGTGAAAATGAACACTTTATTGTATTGAGACTGAATTTGTATTACAATCGTCGAGTTGGTGTGCGAAAGGATCTCATACGAATTCTATTCGCAATACTCTTCCATTATTATCGATAATAGTGCGCGTCCGTTCGGTCGGACGTCGCTACATTGGCGTGGGACTTAACTTTCATATCGATGTCAGGGCGCCTTCACTCGACGCCATTTTAGTTCCCACTAGCCGCCATTTTGTGTACGTGGCGGCGACGAACGACCAATCGACTGATTCTGAGACAGAAACTGCCGCCGATGGTATATATAATAAAAAGATTGAAAAAAAACGGGAATGTGGGTCAATGCCAATGCATTGATATTACACATTTCGCTCATTAAAAAAATATTTGAAAAAAAAATGGGTCTAGTGTAAGGCGCTTAGTTTTGCATTTAGTACGGTTTAGAGATACTATCGCGCGATGTAGCGCGAATGTGATCATTAAAGGAAATCGCTTCTCCTAATAATTGTAATCATAGATTATTTTATAATAACTGGTCAGATCTGCCGCCACGTCGCTTATGTCAAATTATATTTTTATATTGTTTTCTTAATTTTGTGACCGTCACTAGTAACGCTTCGATTATTTATTCTAGATTGTATGGGTATATTAGTATGGAGACATTTTGAAATTTTTTCGAAAAATATTTATTGGATATTGTAGTGTCTAGTCGATGGTTTTTATACAATTTTTTATCAGGCCCAGTGAACTAGCACTGAAGTAATATCGTGTAGGTTAGTAACAACGTGAACATGGTGAGACTGAAGCCTACAAACAGCAAACATTGCAGTAACTACCGTAATTAATTTAAGTTAAACAGGGATTGACGCAATACCAGACGTGTGCGTGGAATCCGAGCCCTGACAGACGCAAGTCTTTCAACATTAACTCTGCACCACATCCCTAACTACCCACAGACAACAGTCTAACAACGCACTGCATACAAAAAAGTTGGGCACAGTTAATTTGATAGACTCGAACATCTTACACAGGGGCGACTAAAGCACTACTCACATCTGCGATTAGTCGCGTGTGTGGTCGACTAGTCCCAAGTCGCCAGTGTGCAGGAGTACTTCGCACTGAGTCTGGCTTCTTATTAATGAGCATTTAAGCTAGGTAAGGTATTTTAAGTATCACCTTAGGGTAAGCTTGTCCGCTTCAGAATATTTAACCGTTCATTCCATGCTTTTAGAATTACGACATGGGATAACAAAAAAACCATTTTTATTATTATTTTTTTACATGAATAAGTGAAGATTTTTGTAACTGGTGCGTAATTCTTGTATATAAACGATCTGCATACGTATTTCGTTCGGGAATTCACCATTTTGTAATGAACAAACCGATGGAAATGTTTTTTTTTTATTGAGGGTATTTTGTATGCAATGCTGATTCTGAAATATTTGTACGATAATGTCTTTGTAAACTATTAATAAATAAATTATAATCATACTGTAAGATGGTGTTTCATTTGGATATTGTTCCAAGCATTTTATTAAAGTACAATTTGATCATGATTATAGAAAATAATAACCCTGTCACCTCTGGGTACCTGGCAAGAGGATTAATATTGACAAAGCCCAAGGATTGAAGCAGTATATCCTTGTTGCATGTCTTCATAGGTTCTTCTTACATTTCCTTTGCTGGCGAACCGAAATAAAGTAAAAAAAAAAGAGTTCTACCATCTCAAATCATCAATATACTTACATATGCTCCCTAACTCCCTCAGCACTTCCCTTACTGCCACAGCCAGCATCGGAATCCTAGGCATCGACATATCGAGCGAAGTCCAGTGTCTGGGCAATTTGGGGGCTAGGTCAAATTGGCCTCGAAGAAGCTCGGTGTGCCGAACAGAGCGAGGCAGTATTTCACTCCGGCCCACCGCCTTCAGCTCTATAAGGCGCAAGTCCGGCCGCATATGGAACACTGTTCTCATCGCTATGCAGGGGCACCTCAGTACCAGCTTCTCACTCTGGACCGTGTCTAACGAAGAGTGACTCGAATCATCGATAGCCCAAACATCTCCAATCGGCTTGATCCCTTGGCGTTACGTAGAGATATGGCATCACTGCATTCTCTATCGCATATATCATGGCGAGTGCTCCGAGGAATTCTTCGGACTAATACCAGCCGCAAATCCCATCCGCCATCGTTCCACACGGCAAAATTTTCATCCTCATTACCTGGATAGTTGGCGCTCCACCACTGTCCGCTTTTCGAGACACTTTTTGCCCCGCACAACCAATCGATACGACCTTCAAACCTTCAAGAAAATAGCGTACTCCTTGCTAAAAGGCCGGCAACGCGTTTGTGACTCCTGAGTTGCAGACGTTCATGGGCGGCGATGGTCACTTTCCATCAGGTGACCCAACTGCTCGTCTGCTTTATCTATCATAAAAAAAAAAGAAAAGAAAATACTCTACTTGGAATTAATATATTTAATTTATTTTTAGGTGTGTTTAATGTTGGGGAGTAAAGTAACATACACTGTTATTCAAGCTCGTATAATTGCAAACTGGCTCTGGTTTTATAGTACACGCGTACAAAAGGCACATACATGAAGATTTATGAACTACCCACTATATGCATACAAATAAATCATCATACCTACATTACAGTGTGGACATTTTATGTTATTATTATTTCAAATAATTGTGTTATTTTTTGTAATTGAGGGTAATTTTATTCAGAAATGATATACGTGAAATAGTTTTATTAAAAATAATAAGTAAAAAAACAATATTTAAAATCTTCACTCAGACCTTTTAAAAGTCTGATCCGAAACAGGAGTTCGACGTAACAACAACATTTATAATAAAACTGAAATCAATATCATAGTGTCTTAATAAGGAAAGTTAAAAAATAATAGGGTAGTAGTTGTATATCAAAACAAACAAGTTATATTGAAAAACTTATATATTTTAATTAAATAGTTACATTAATCTTTACAGTATCTCCCTAGCTAGTGACACGTTGAATTAGCATCGATGCATTTTATTGGTCAAGAAATAATATTAAAAATAATAATTTATCTAAATAACGGATAAACAATAACCACATCAACCTGATAGTTTGAAAGCAAAAAAAAAACAACAACCAAATGTGTTGCCAACAAAAAATAATGCAGTTAAAAAAATGGTAGTTATTATAAAAAATGCTATTTATCGACTGGCAAGGTATGTATTGAAATACTGTTTTCTATCTGGCAACACAAGTGGCTTGAACTTATCATAGGTACATTAATTTATCTAATACGTTGAATACTTCACATTAATGAGGATTGTATATTAGAATATATATTTATATATATATATTTGTTATACTACCAACTCATTACAAATGAAATTGGAATCCTTGGTACATGAAACATCTGTGTTTTTTTTTAATACCAAGCTCAATTAATACAACAATGAAATTTTACAAAGACATTAAAAAAAATATATTCAATCGAGGCACACTATAAAATTATATATATTTTTTCGTACAACCAAGCGTTCATTTTTGAATTTTTATTACATTTTATGCTCGACTGTGAATTTTATATTTAATCAACCTAATATATTTAATATAACACCACTGTTTGTTTAAAGTCGCTTCAGATATCGAAGAGAAGCGGAATACGGATGACACAAGAAGTGAACAGGGCCTCAATTCTGCTATTTTATGTTCACACCAAGCCACTGTCGTACCACTGACACGCCATCACGACCCTCAAAAAAACACAATATATTTTCAAATTATAAGGAAATGATTTATTTATGTTTCCAAATATGGCAATCATTTTGATATCACCACTGATGAGCCACTGCCATTCCATCGCCACTGTAAAGACACTGAGTTAGTGTAGACTACCGATATTTATACCGATGCCAATGGCCACTCGATGGCATCTCAATAGCGTGTCAGTGGTATGACAGTGGCTTGGCGTGAACATAAAATATCAGAATTGAGGCCCAGGTCTTTAGTCGTGGTTGTCGTCAAGAACAAGAATATATTGTTTATTGAAAGTGGGACGGTTAGTTCATCTTTTTGCAATGTCTAGGTTAATAAATTGACAATTAATATATAAGTGACAACCAGGGCTAGATAGAGATAGAGTAGGAGCGACATACAATACATTTAGTACAAAAACTTACTAAGGCACGAATAACAAACTTGACGCCTTAGTCGTCGCAACGACCACCTGCACAGTCTCACACTTGACATTATAAGACATTTGCCACACGTATGCTAGGTTTTCTAGCTGTGGATTCTCTTAATATTTTATTTTTTCAGTTTAAAAAGTCTATACGCTATTCTAGACTATAATCTATCTGATAATTTGGAATATATCCTGTGTCGCGAGAGACTTTCCAAACATACATGAAACGGACACAAAGAACACCCAGACTCAGAACAACAATTTTTGAATGACACAAAGTGTTGTCCCATGTGGGGATCGGACTCACAACACTCAGAGCAGTTGGAAGGGGCGAGGTGACCGCTTCAACCACTACGCCAACCGTGCAGTCAAATCAATCCGTTCAGACGTGTAGCATGTTTCAAATATTTCTCAATTCGTGTCAATACTTTCTACAAATACTTTTTACCCTACATATATATCTATAAATGTAGGATAATCTGGTTTGAATAAAAAAACGCATTTCTTACTTTTACACAGTGGTTCAGAAAGTGGTCAAATTTTAGAAGCGTTGTTCTGCATTCTGCAACTTTTTTAAATAACAATGCTTAGTACACAGATCCAAATAGCATAGAATTTTTAGGTTCTTATGTCTATATGTTTTCATAAAAACTCCATCAACATTCTTGGCAATGAAAACAATACTTTCAATTCATGATAATAATTTTCGATAATTTTCAAATT